AAACACGATTTTCAACGTTGTTTAAAACTTGGTTTTAACACATTAAATTCGCGCAGGAGTTGATATTAATATTTATAATTGTTAATTAGACACTAGAAGCACTTTTAATTTGATGCACTACACAAATTCATTTATTTATATTTTCTAGATGTTAGATTTGTATTTATTTGTATTTGTAAAGCGACGGCACTGAGCGGGTCAGCGAGTGGCTCGACTGGCTGCACCGACGGCAAGGACTACGGCGATGATGATGTTAACGTCTCGATGTACGATTTCAGATTTATCATAAAACCATGACAGAGGCTAAACACTGATGTGTCCAGTGCAGCAGCCGCCGTGGCAGCAGCAACAGCAGCGGCAGAGCCAACAAACAGCCAACCCCAAAATAGGATAACAAAAAGAAAAAAAAAAATGGAAAAGCTGTAGATATAATCCGCGCTCGGTGAGTGGGCAGAGGCTGGCCATGAGTATGTATGTGTGTGCTTGTGTGTGTGTGACGAAACAAAAAGCACAGCAGGCCAAACCACCCAACCACCCACCACCCAGCATCAGCAGCAACAGCAGCAGCAACGGCAGCAACGGCAGCTATAAGAGCAGAGAGCAGCAAGCAGCAGAGACGCTGGCAGCAGCATAACCTAACCGCATGGCAGGCAGCCAGCCCACTGTAAATTGTGGGTGGGCTAGGGCTGGCTGCCATATTACGCTGCGAGGACTTTTAGTGGCAACTCTGGTGGCGCATTTGCTTGTTGGCTTGCTTTGATTCGTTCCTTCTTGATGCTGCGGCCGACGTCGACGCTGCTGTTTGAGCGTAGGTAAGCCAAGCCGCAATCTCAATCTCCCAATAAACACCCGAGCAGCGTTCTCTCTTCGCTCACACACACACACACACGCACGCACACGCATACATACACACTCTGGCCGCCATCATGACGTAGCAGCAGCTGTAGCTGCAATGGAGTCTATATGGAGCCTCTGCCTCTCTCGTCGCCTCCTCGCCACACGCACTCTCTCTCTCTCACACACACACACTCTTGGTCTGCTTCTTCTGCTGGCGCAGCTGCGCGGGGTGTTCGCTCACATAATCGTCTTGGGTTTTGACATTTTGTTTTTGTTTTGTAATACCTTCTGTGATGTTAGTGCTTTCGAATTCGCCCCCACCGCTCCCCGCTCGGCCTTCGTCCATGGCTCGCCTCGCCAGTTAACTGTAATTGAATTGAACGGCATTCGGTCTGCCTGTGGCCTTTCGCTTACGTTTCTTGTTGTTGTTCTCTTTCGGTGTTCGTTTCGCTTTTCCTTCATCTTTCTAATGTCGCAGCCGTAAGCACACCAGATTTATGGCCAAAACAATAATGGATAGACATCTGCGTTTACGATATTGTTTCAAATTAGATTGTATCAACTTATTCGATTACGTCAGTTACAATAACTTTGTTGTTGTCTGCTTGTTTTGGGTATATGTAATAAAATTTTGGAGAGGCGACTTTATCAAAACAAAGTAATATTAATATGAATAATAATAGAATGAAATAATGTTGATGTTTTATAGAAAAATAAATTATAATAAGAAATACTCAAATAATAAATATATAAATTCTGAAAAATCATCAAATAAAATATTTATAATATTCAATAATATATATATATAAATTTAACAAAAATAAATAATAATAAAAGGTAAAATATTTCAATTTAAAGTAAATTTTAGATGCGAAACATAAGATATTAAATATTTAAAAAGTTCTTAATATAAACAGAAGTTTAACAGTTGATTATAGGCTCATATATATTATAAATATATGAATACATATATATAAATACATACACATATACAAATACATCCAACTTAGCTCATAAAGCTAAGCATAAACATAGCCATAAGACCTTTTATTTTTCAAAACTAAACCAAACCACACACACACACACACATACACATACACTGACATATTTATGATTTGTTTATTTAATTTCCCTAATTGGATGACATCATTATTTCAAGTTTCGCAGGCTGGAGGCAACGGCAATGGCTTGTGTGTATTCAACAATGCTTAAAGCCGAGCGCCATAGGCAAATCCAATAATCGATAAAAGTTCATCCGGCCACATCCTCTTAGCGTGTCCTCTTTTCATTCTTCTCCTTCTATTTTTTGCTGTTGCTCTTTTTGCTGTTGTTGCCGTTGCTGTTGTTGTTGTTGTTGAGGCTTTTGCTGCGCTTAATACGCCAACATTAACTTTGTAACAAATGAGATGTCGGAATACAACAATCACCTACCAGCTCCTACACACTCGCTCTCAGCCAGCCTCTCACCCGCTCGCACTCAGCAGCCTGCCGCCACTCGCACACTCGCACGCTCATACTCTCTCTCGCACTCTAGCTCGGTCGCCTAGCTGCTGGCTCGCTCACGCGCTCGCACTCTCTGCCCAGTGTTTGTTGTGCTTGGGACAAAAGTGAAACGAACGCAAAAGTCAAAGCGCTTTGCTCTGGCGCTTTTTTGGCCACGCCCACGCTTGTAGGAGGAGCGAGCGAGAGCGTTATCCTGTAATATCCGTGCATCAAAAATGCCTGCCAGCAAGCGAGCGAGATAGCTACCAGGGCAGCCAGCGCGTGCGAGTGGGACGAATATAGTCGAGAGGGTTGGTTCTTGACATTTGAACGGGCGACATCTCTTCTCTGCCAGCATACAGAACGAATTCGCATGTGTGTGTGCGGGTGAGTGTGCATGTGTGTGTGTGTGTGAATGGGTGTGAATAAGAACTGTCTTTTATTTTCACTTCGCTCCTTGTTATTTTTCCCTTTTTTTTATTTTTTGTATGCTGCCATTGTATTATCAAGTGCAGTGCACTTTATTTAATCAATCAAAATTCGCAAATTTCGAGTTTATTTCGCAGCGTTCATTTCAGAAGTTAAGTGGGGATTTTTTCAGGGGCGGCAAATTATGTAGATATGCATAAATATGTGAAAATAATAAAATGTGATTAAAAATTTGCAGTAATGTTATTTATTAATGACCCTTTGGTTCTATTAGTTAAGATAAGAAACTGGTGTATATTTTAATTGGAAATAATATAACTATTTCAGTAGTTGTAGAAGTCAGAAGTCTATATTATCTTATCTAATCAGCTCATACTACAATGCTTGATAGCCAACTGAACATTGCTCGTTTCATATCTGAGTTGGAAATCTTCCCAAGATTTGCACGTGATACTTTCTACTCGTATGTTCTCTATACGATTCTCTTTATCTCTATGTCTACACTTGTATGTTTAACTTTGTCTGTAGAGACCTGTATGGGTATCTATATTGCTGAAACTTATTGAGTTTATATAGATACCCAGAAGTTTAGTTGGAACATGGCAAAACGATATAAAATCTTTTATTTTTCATAAATTAACCCATTTTCAGTCTCATTTCAAGTTATATATCAGTCAGATATATATTTCATAGTTATCTGGAAACCAATATAAGAGATCCACTGAGGAAAACTGTTGCCCAATCAGCCAATGTCTATACCCCAAGCTCGTCATCTCTTCATCACATCGCTTGTATCTGTTTTTGAGATCTTCCAAATGTTTCGCTGCACATTTAATGCTTGAATTATTTTGGCAAAGCGGCGCATCTTCATTTTTTTATTTGATATACAAATACAAGTACAAATGCAAACATTGCGGTCAATGACACGTGCCAGGTAGACAGAGGTAGACGAATACCAGGTAAATTCAACCAGAAAAACCCGTTTAGCATAAACAACGAACAATTTAAATCGCTTCGTTTGGCAATTAATTGCTTGCTCGTCTTTAGTTAGCGACTGGCCACGCCCAGCGCTCCCTTCTCGGGGTCATGGTGCTGACATATTTACTTTTTAGCTCGTCAATGACAGCAGGACAGGGAAGTTGATGGCTGGAACTTGAAGTCAAGCTGTTTGGCAATCAGATAAAGTGATTGACGGGTTGGTTTGAGAGGGGAGGCGAACGGAAATATACATAGATGAGTAGTTTCTGGAATTGGGCAATACGAGAGGAACATCTTAGCTTCTAAATTCTTGTATATATGTATATTTAATGTACACATGTTTTGTTTATTGACTGCAACTGAGATGGAAGGACAAAGAGTCAGAGAGAAATATAGGTAGATGATTCCCTTATATGCTAGGCAATCTATACCGTAGCACTGTCCTATTTCTGATATATCTATGAAAATTAGATTGTTTACTAAAATCTGTAAAGGGAAAAAATCTTATAATATGATACTGAAGAAGAAATTTAAAGGCAGAAAAGAATTTCCCAATTTATCACACACCACCCTAGTTTCAAGAGTGGCGAAGCCAGACATACATTGCCGAAAACTATTATCTGCTCATAAATTTACTTGTATAGTTTTTATTTATTTTATTTACTTAGAGTAATTTCTCATTAGGTCGTGGTAAATGCTGAAATTATATCAATGGAAGGATAATACACATAAGACTTCAAACAACTTCTATCCTAAAATTTCAGAGAGCTCGACGATAACCTATAGTATAGATCTTTCAGAGCTATAGCGTAAATATAATATAAAATGATTTAAAACAGCTATGAAAGTAGAAAATCGTATACTAAATAGTCCTAGAAAAAGGATCTAAGAACATAAACATGCTTATAAAATACATTCTAAAGAAACTATATTTATATAAGCTGAATAATGAACCCTTAGAAAATTATACTCATGGCTCTTATAACTACATGTATATATATAACCTAGGCATCCCACTCACTCGGTTTACCCACACTAGGATGACTGTAAATAAAAGTAAAATCAAGATTGTGGTTGTTGTTGTTGGGGAAGGCACAGTTACTATAACTTATATTTTCTCGTAGCAGGCTCTAATTAAACTAAAACAATTCGGTTTGTGTGTTTCAAGCATTCATTTTCCATCGGTTTTCGGTTTAGTTTATGTCTCTTTACTATTATTTAGTTGAGTTTTCATTTTCGTTTTTATTGTTTTGCTGTTTTAATTTGAATATATATTTTTGTATTTACAATTTTTAATTATTTTTATTTTTACGACTCTTGTGTTCGGTTCTCAAGTCAAATAACAGTTGCAATAAACAAGCGTTCAACTTAATTGCTCTCATTTAATATAATTTACAAGAAAAACTTACTTAAAGCTAAGTCTGCGTTTGTTTAATATTTACGTTTGCTGTGCTTACTTTTTCTTGTTATTTTGTTGTTGTTGTTTGGGTTTTCTTTTCTTTTCGTTAACTTTTACTAGTGAGAATATTGTTTGATTAAATTATACATCGTCTTGTTTATATATATATATCAGTTATATATATAGCGACTTCTATAGATATACATATGTATATATAATTTCTGTTCTGTTCAATTTTTATGCTGGGTGCTTAATGATTTCTTTGCTTTTGTATAGTTTTTTTTTTTTATGATTTCTATTTTGCTTGTTTTTTTTATATAAATAAAAAATATAATAATTTTGTTTTTCGTTTCGAATAATACATATATGTATATATGCCATACAAAGAAAATACGTTTTTGTGTGGGTGGCTGGGGAGGGGAATCTGTGTATATTATGATTCTCATAATTTATGATTAGACGTCAACCACGTTAGACCCTCGTAGAGCCCGTCACCGCTTGTGGCACATGATGGCTGGACATACCAATTGCGATCTCTTATTCTAGTTAAGCCTAGTTTTTCCTGGATTTCATGGGGTTTCATTGCTGCAAAAGAACAGACATATATACATAAATTATATATAATCCAATTGTTATTGTATAGACATTACCATCAGCTAGATCCTGTTTATTAGCAAATATCAGTATAATGGCATCGCGCATCTCTCTATCATTAATTATCCTATGCAGTTCAGTGCGCGCCTCATCTATTCTATCCCGATCAGCGCAATCCACAACGAATATCAGACCTTGTGTGCCTGTATGTGACATATAGAAGTTCAGATTAGTTGTATTTCCATTATATATTGATTGTGGTTTGTCTTACCTGTATAGTAATGCCGCCATAGCGGTCGAATTTTATCCTGCCCGCCAACATCCCAGACATTGAATTTAACATTCTTATACGTAACGGTCTCCACATTAAAACCAACCGTTGGTATCGTTGTTACTGATTGACCTAGTTTCAGTTTATAGAGAATCGCTGCAAATGTATTAAACATATCATATATCAGTGAATGAAGTTGATCAAATTACAATCAAAACTTAATTCCTATTTACTAAGGGTAAATATATACAATAAACAATTAGTCTAGTTTACTCACTTGTTTTGCCAGCAGCGTCCAAGCCGAGCATAAGAATTCGCATTTCTTTGTTGCCGAAAATTTTTGATAATAACTTTCCCATGATGATGTGTCATCCATTAAACGTTGGCCAAACTGCAAGACAAATCAGATTACTATATACACATATGGACAGAGAGAGATATTGCAACTCGGGTCAAGCGGTCAGAGAGCTATACAGAAGTTGCCAGCGAAAAAATGTCATGATAAATTTCATTGTAATATAACTGCTATCAATTTTATTATTGTATGTGATATAAGCATGCCGCCACACACGCACACATGTACACTCTATATATACATATGTGCATGTATGTGTACACACAGTCACACACTTATGCTTTTAGCATAATGCGTCAACGGAAGTTAAGAGCATTATTTTGCATAATAATTCAACTTACAACGTTTAAATTCAGAGAGAATTTATCGCTGCCACACACACGCACACACACAGGCAAACACCAGACACACACACACGAACGCATACAGCAATGGCACACAACTCAAGTACAATTGGGCACACACGCATACAGAGCGATCATAAATTAAACAAATATTAACTCAATGGGAGCATTCAATTGAGTTGAGCTCGGAACTCTCTCCGTGCAGAAGCAGCTGTCATAGCCGGCCTGGCGGAGCTGCATTCGTTTCCTGCTCCTTCTGATCCTTGGCAACCAAGTAACATTCAGCGTGTGTGTCACGTCACATACACGCCCGTACACACATACAACACTCACACATACGCACGCATACACACCCAAAATTCTAGACGACGTTTGTTGGTGGAGATTACGCTGCTCAACGTTCGACGCGCGCCTTGGCCAGGGCTTTTACCATGTAGCGTTACAACACGTCGCGCTCAAATTGTGCATACAATGCATTTGCATGGAAAACAAAAACAAAAAATACTACTAAATTGTATTATAAACTATAACAACAACAAATTTTGCACTAATGTTCTCATATTTGTATGCGCTGAATGTTTTCTTGTATTTTTTTTTTATTTTATTTTTATCAGCGTTGCCACCGTGAGAAAATATATAAGATGTGTACACACTCTTGCACTGTCGAATGGCAGCGCCGTCAGTGTTGCTAAATGAGCACCGTTCAATTGCTTAGCAGCACTGCTGCCAATAGATGGCGTAACAACAAAGAGCATTTATTCGCTTGGTCAAATGCTAATCATCTATAAGCACAATAATAATATAGAAATAATATAACAAAATAATGGAATTAAGCTAATTACAAGAAGTGCAGACACAATAAAACATGGCTGGCATCTACACCAGGGAGGCGGTGCGCGTCAAAGTCAAGGTATGCTATTTTTTTCTCTCCTGCTGTGGCAGACAGAAAACAAAGACAACAATTTTCACCCGTTCTCGCACACTCTCTCCCACTCTGTCGCCCCCCCTCCTCTCTCGCTCACACCCACGCGTAGAAATGCGAGGCAACGCGTCCGCCAGAATGGCGCAAATTTTCGGTGGATCCACAAATAACAACGCTGGAGGTACTCTACTCACTCCTAGCCAAGGCCTTCGATATCAAATCGGATTTTTCCATCAAATACAAGGCCTTCGATCCAGCTGGCAATGAAATCTATTTGGCCGTACTCTCCGACTGGGATCTGGACGCTGCCTTCCTACGCATACACAATATATCCATACAGACGTCGTCGGAGCCTTGTCTCATGCTGCAGATTGACGTTAAGCCGTTTACCGTTGTGCGCGAGTGTGAAACGGAGACAACAACAATGACAACAACAACGGCAACAAACACGAGCAGCAGCAGCCGAGTGACTGGCACCGCTGGCTTCTCGGCTAGCGTGTCGCCGCTCCAATCGCTGGGTGTGTCGCAGAAATATGTGCAGCATATGCAAACGAAATTGCCAGGACTGATCATGAATCAAATGGAGAAGACATTCTCCATTGTGCAGAAGGCCTTCAACCTATCAGATGAGCATATGGCGAACTTGCCCCCGCGTCCGCCCATGTGCGACAGCGAATTCCGTTTGTTTTTGGATGCACTCGGGCAGATTCAGCGTCGCGACGAGCTGAGAAAAGTGATTTTCCTGGGTGGCATTGAGCCCAGTTTACGTCGCGTGGTCTGGAAGCACTTGCTGAATGTCTATCCGAGTGGCATGCACGGATTGCCTCTGGATGGGCATCAGCGCATGGAGTTTATGCGTCGCAAGTCGGAGCAATACTACAGATTGCGCGACAACTGGAAGGCGGCTGTGCAGCGCGGATCTGTGGCGGGCGAACTGGCCTATGTGACGAGCATGGTGAAGAAAGATGTGCTGCGCACGGATCGACTGCATCCGTTCTATGCGGGCAGCGACGACAATCAGAATATAGCCTCCTTGTTCAACATATTGACCACGTACGCGCTGAATCATCCAGTCGTTAGCTATTGCCAGGGCATGTCCGACATTGCCTCGCCCCTGCTGGTCACCATGAACGACGAGGCGCAGGCCTACATCTGCTTCTGTGCGATAATGGCGCGAGTGCGCGGCAACTTTATGCTCGATGGCATTGCCATGACCCAGAAGTTTGCCCATCTGACGGAGGCGCTCAGCTTTTACGATCCAGAATTCTGGGAGTATCTGAAATCACAGCAAGCCGATGATCTGCTCTTCTGCTATCGCTGGCTGCTGCTCGAGCTGAAGCGTGAGTTCCCATTTGAGGATGCTCTGCGCATGTTGGAGGTGCAGTGGAGCTCGCTCTGCTACGACAATAATAGCCCCAAGGAGCTATCTCTATACGAAAAGGTGCGTTCGGGAATAATACGATATCAGTTTATTGAGATAAGACAAAATATAATATTTTGTCGGAGATTAGATAGGATTGAGGTATAACTCTGAAGAGATACGATGATAGAGCGAGTTCTTATATAGGCCCAAGATAGGTTTTTTTTTACCAGGCCTTTGCAATTGATTAGATTTGATGCTAAAGGTCCAAAACATATTTGTAGTCAAAAAAGTGAACTATATGCTATATGTGTTTGTTTTTCAGAACAGATCTTTTCAAGGTCTGCTTCTAATAAGAGCCAAATGTAAATTATTATAGAAACTGCTTACACTTGCTCGTAAAGCCGACCCTCAAGTTGTAGTTGAAAATAGGTTCGTTGGGATATTAATATTGATTTTTGGAACAGATGTAATAATTACTGTAAGCAGTTGCTAAATCCAAATTTCTATATGGAAAAGCGTAGGATATGTAAATATATACATTTTTATAAGAATATCCTCTGGGAGTTAGAAGAAGTTTCTATAAAATATACCCAAGTTTCCTATCTTAAAAGTACTTCTAATGAGAAATGCTCGTTAAAGTCTGCTATTTATTTATAGTCAACTAAAAATAAACAGGTAGACTCACGATAAGTGACATACAGTATAGCATTTGCAGATCATATGTACATGAATCATAAGATATATAGAATGTATACATACATATATTCTCATACCTGGCTAAAAGTTTCAATTTGCATCCTCTCGACGAATGTTGGGTTGAAATTAATTAACGCACTGTAGGAAAGCCTTCCAAATAACAAAGTTCTAGACTAGATTTATTAAATTTGTAAAGATTTTGTGCGTGAGTGTTATGTCATGACAACCTTATATATTTATAATTGGATTTAAGAGAAGATCTGATATAATTGGACTTAAGAGGCATTCCTATTAACCATACAGATTAGAAATGACTATACAGAGGACGAGCATTCTTTATTGCTCTTTTAACTATTCTTAACTAGTTCCAATCCTATATCTATATTTGAATACTATGTATACTATATACTGATTTTATAACACCAGGAATTTGTGCCCATAACGGAAACCTCTGCGCCCAACAGTGCCAGCACGTTTTCCACATCATACAGCGCCACGCCCACAAGTCCATCGTATCTGCTAACGAAGCCGCGAGAGAATCCCTATACGAAAGTTTGTGCCTTGCGCAGACAGAGCTCGTCGGCGTCGCTCAGTTCGTTGAGCTCCTCGCTGGGAGCTGCTAGCAGCAATGCCTTGGACAACTCGAAGCGCTTGAATCAGAGTCTGGACGACAATATGTCGAGGCATGCAGCGCGAAGGCAGCGCAGGATTTCGGCGAAGGCGCATCAGAGCCTGGATGAGTCGAAGATGTTGGCGCTGATAGAGGGCGGCGTGGCCGAGCAGAATGCCAGGTCGGTGCAGGAGCTGAGCGCCAGCGAGGACACCGATGATGATGTCTTTGACCGCAAGGAGCAGCTGGTGGGCTCGCCGCCGCAATTCCATGAGACGAATCCGTTCAAGGACGATGCACAGCAGCCAAATAATAATTTGAACAATAACAATAATATAGCTACACTGCCCGCTAGGGTTTTCCTCTCATCAACATCATCTTCCAATTTCGGCGAGGAGAAGGCGCCACAGCAGCAGTCGCAGGAGCAGCAGCAGCAGCAGCAGCCATCGGTCCAGGGCCTGGCCAAGCTGCAGCAGAAGAATATTATGAACGTAAGCAATATGATAGCCAAGCAATTGGCCACGAATGCCAGCACGGTGAGCGAGAGCGTCAAACGCGTCAGCAGCACCAGCGGCGGACATTTCAAGGATCTCAAGGAGAAAATCGCGGCCAGCAGCCGCATGGGCATCTCGTTCGACAACGACGATGCACCGCCAAAGCTGGTCAAGAATTTCAATGAATTCCTCAATTTTGCAGCGATCAACAAGAATCGCATTTCGGATCGTTTGGCCAATCAGCTGCAGATCAGCGAGAAGCCACAGAAGGAAAAGGAGCTGGGCAGGCCGGTGGTGCAGTTGACCAAAGGCGGTGCACTGGGCAGCTCATTGGATGAATCGGACTCCTCCTCCATACCAGAGACCAGCTGGAGTGCCTCGACAGCGGCCACGGCCATACAGCAGGCGCAGGAGCAGGAGCTGAGCAGTTATAGTTTGCAATTGGATTTGAATGCTGTGTCGCCGGTTAAGCAGGAGCAACAGCAGCAGGCGCAGCCGCCTTTCGATGAGAGCACGCCCGATCAGGATGGCGATCAGGAGTATTATCCCATGACGAATGCCATAACGCGCGAACTGCGCTTGGAGGCGGAGAATTTGGATCGTCAAGTGTTTGGCTTGCCCTTCACGGAAAAGCAAATAAATACAGCCCTGGCCGACGATATCGAATATGAGAAGCTGGACAAGGACACGCTGGACATGGTGGATGATCTCAAGGAGAATGAGATCATCACGTGCCCCGACGTCAGTGAGCTGCATATGAGAAGGCGTCAGCGGCTCGCCGCTGCCAAGAGCAACAGTGTGCAGCCCGCCCAGACTGATGCGCTGAATCCCTTCATAGACGAGAGCCAGCTAATGGAGGGCGGCATGCGCAATAGCAACAGTCTGCCCGAGGTCATCATGCCCATCTCAACGGAGCCGAACCGTGTCGAGGCACCGACGCTGGTGGAAATAGCAACAAATGCGGATGACGAGAGCGCCTACAGCGCCTACACACGCTCACCCCAGCGCAGTCCGCTGAATGGGCTGAATAGTACAGCGGCTGCTCTGCCCCCACCGGGTGAATTCGGGGGCGGCAATGCGTTCCTTATGTTCCTCTGCCTAACACTGCTGCTGCAGCATCGCAACACCATTATTAAGTCGGGCATGGACTACAATGAGATAGCGATGCACTTTGATAAGATGGTGCGGAAGCACGATGTGACGCGAGTCTTGAATCAGGCGAGGCGCATGTACTTTGAGTACTTGCAGGCGCAGCGGAAAAAATCGACAGCAGCAGCAACGGGAGCGGGAGAGAGAGCGGGAGTGGGAGAGAGAGCAGGAACTGGGACTGGAGCTGGAGGTGGCGCGGCAGTCGGAGCAGTCAGCACAACAGAAGCCACAAATATATAGCCAAAGCTAGTATGGAGATTGCGAGTGGATCAGGGCAAAGCTTAAGCGGAGTTGGCCGAGCTTCCCTCTCTATATACAATATTATATATGTATATATATATCAAGCTTAGAGATCAAAGGATAAGAATTGTTTGACATTTATATAGTCTAAGGATTACAAAGCAAAGATATAACAATGATGTTGTTGGCTAGTCAAGGAAAAGTTAAGGATCATAGAGGAAGACTTCCCTAAAATTGATGAGATCATAAAGCCAACGTTCGACTGAGCTGTTGTTTATTTAAAGGAAAATATAAGAACTCGCTTGAAATAGCGATCTCACATATATAGTCTAAGCAAATGGATCAGAAAAGCGAGATAGAGATGGAGAACTTGCCTGACTCTCTTTATAGATATATCCAAAGGATCAAGAAGGACAAATCCATAGACTCACATATATATATTGTCTAACAACTGTTAAAGTTACAGCTACGATCCAAATTCAGCAGCTGCTGATTAGCTCAACCATCGCCACATTGATTTGACACAAAGAAACCAAAGTTTTCTTAATATTAATTTCCACTTTTGATTATCAACTTTAGTTAGTTATTTATTTAATTTATTGACTGCCAAATCGAACAGGCCAAAAATTAATTAGTTTTTCCATTTCGCATTCCACACAAAACTTTAAACAATTTACGCTTACAATTTTTAATCTCAAACTACGTACTTAATACTTGTAACTAAAAAACAAAAAACTCTTAAGAATACTAAAAACTTAACTGTTATAATTCTCTCACTCAACTTATTCCAAGCAAAAAAATTTTTGTGTATAAATAATGAATTTTGTTTAATATTTTTGTTTGTGTTCCAAATGTATTTTGTGTAAAATTTAATGCGTAATGAAATTTTTAATAATTGCTAAATAAAAGCATTCCAAAACAAGAAAAATATGTGAATAAAAACCAAATTTTGTTTCTGCGGAAATATTTTTAAATATTAATGAAGTGAAATGAAAACCAAATATTTTTTATATAATTTAAGTGCTGAAATATTTTGAAATGTGACAAGAAGTCATTGTCAATAGGTTAGCTTGAGAGCTTTACATGTCTAAACTTTGTATTTTAGTGTTTTTAAGTCTTGAAAACCTTTTTGTTGCTTTTGATACTAATTTGTTAACCCAAAATTAGTTTGAAATGAAATTTCGAGTCTTGATTAAAAAAATTGAATATAAATGAATTTTTTTTTCAATTGATTTTTAAATACTAACTATTTATTATTTATTAATTAGAGAAATTCCAAGCGAAATGGACGATTCATAGAAATTAGCTTACAGAAAGTTAAGGTTATATATATTATATGTAGTCCATATAGATAGACACACATGATATATGCATTTTAGGTAGATAAGGAATTGAAGATTAGATTCCTCATATAGGAGAAATTTATACTCTGGATATGAGCTGAGCATATCTGTATGCGATCTATGAACAATTACTCAATTATTATAGACCCTGCACATGATCAACCTGGACTATAATCAACTTGATAATAGCCAGATATATTATAAATGAATATAGGCTCGATTCTCTCGTTCTTAATGCAGCTTAAGTACATAAATATCGTATGATTTATTAACAAACTCTTTCAAGGCTCAATACAAATATTTTATTCGAACTTATGTTTTCTTTACAAGGACATCATTAGCTGCCTTACAATTTAGTAAATATCATAATACAAAAATATTTATAAAATAATACGCAATACACTTCGAACATTAAACAGTGAGACGAAAAGAAGGGGAATTTAAAAATTATATTTAGCTTTGAGGCGCTCGCGTATTAAGAGGCCCTTGATGAGTTTCTTCCAATTGCCGTAGACGCGCGTTTCGTATTTTTCTTGCTCCTTGCGCGCCTGCTCCTGCTGGTCCTCCTCCCAGGCGGCGATGACCACCTCGGCAAACTCCTCGCAGACCACAAAGCCATCGTACATGGGATGACAGGCGCCCTGATGGAAATCAAAGCCAATAACAGCATTCGCGCAGTCTATGTTCAGCTTCTTGCAGACGCGCATCAATCCGGGCACTGCGAAGGGCATCAAATCAGTTCAAACTGCAGACTAGTTATATATATTTACTAGGTGTTACTCACGTCTGAGATGCACTGTCTTCTTGGGCAACATGCACGCCTTGAAGAGCTCCACGTTGCCATAGGCATTCCGTGGCACAATTCCATTCTCGGCTGTGGGCGGCTCATACTCCTGCGTTTGCCAATAGCCAAAGATCTCCAGCGGTTGATCCTTGATGACGCTGCGCGTGAGCTGCAGGAGGAATCGACATATGGAGTCAACAATTATAAGTAGACAGGCAGAGCTTATTCCCTGGCTCACCTTATCCCACTTGGGTCGCGCCTTCACTATTTTGTAGGGCTGTTCGCCCAGCTTGACGACGCGCGCACTCTTCAGCCAAATGTCGCGCGAGTGCAGCAGATGCACACAGTCGCGGGAGTAGACCGGCTCGCCGCGTATAAAGCCCAGAGTGGGCGCATCTGGCGGATAGATGCCCTGAAATTTGAGTAGATGGCGCTCGAGTGCGTACAAGGGATGATCCTTGAAATCGGATATGGACTTGGGCAGTGGCTTGTCCGAGTGGATGCGACGCAGTTCCTCATCCTCGCGTATGTCACGCTTGGTGCGCCTGCCCAAATAAGGAGCCAGTGTCTCGTCCAGCCAGGCTTTCTCCACACGGGACTTGCGCACTGTGGTCGTCCAGTTGGGGCAGTAGCGTGCGGTGACATCCTTTACACTCATATCGTCCTGGAACGCGAAGACGTAGGCCAGGCTCGAGGAAGCATTTCGCTGCAAGATGATGATTGATGGGTTACTTTGGAATTGGAATCCATCTGCATATCTACTCAAACTTACCCTTATGGTATCCACGCAGTGCAGCTTGCACTTGAACAGATCTATGCATATCCACTGCTCCTCCACATCGGACCACACCTCCACCCACATATCGGATGCCGTTGTTTTCCTCTTCTCCTTGACGCTCTCGTCGTCTGTGGAGAGCACGCGACGATCCTTGCGTAGATGCTGCACTGCCTTGGGCAGCACCGGCGCCTTCTTGATGGCCGGACTGGGCGTGGAGCCGCCAGAGGTTGAATCACCGCCCTGGCTATGCGATTTCTGCAACTTCTCCAGCTTTATGCGCTTCTTGGGCACTGGCACGCTATCGTCGCCGCCATCTAGCTGGGGTATGCCCAGTGCTTTAGTCTTTTGCTGACGCGTACGCAGCTCCCGCTTGGGCTCCAGTTCTTTGGTGGACTTGGTTCTGGCTGCCTTCACAGCGGCTGAGGGAGCAGCTGCCTCATGGCCCTTTAGGAACTGTGTGGAGATGTATGCCTTGGGCGACTTGCTGCGCGATCGCGTCTCAGGCTCCACGAGCTGATTCTCGCCTGGCTTGGCGTTCTCTGCATCATTGGGCTTGGCCTTCCTCGCCTTGCCATTGGCCAGCATTACTTTGGGTATCACGGGCGAGCCCACTTTAGCTGCTGGATAGGAAACTTCTGCCACTCGCTCCTTGTCGGCGGATGCTTTGCGTGTGCGTCGCGCCACTGGCGAGGGCTCGACTTGCAACTGCGGCTCCTTGGCACGCTTCACTGCAATCGTCTCGGGCAGCTTCGGTGCGCGCTTCAGGCGCGAGAGCTGCGGCTTCGCTTCGGGGGCGCCTTCGATTGTCTTTGCAGCCGAGCGGCTAGGTTTGGGTGCTGCCTCAGCTTCGACCTTGACTGCAGCAGTTGTGGCAGAGCGTGAGCTGCTAGCCTTTGGCTTTTGTGCGTTGGAGCTGCTGGCCTTGGCTTCAGCTTCCGAATTGCTGTCGGAGAGTTTGCTTTTGGCTTTCTGGTTGCCTGACCTGGCTGAGCTGCCCTTGGGCTGTTCATTGGCTTTCTTGGAGCTACTGCTGCTGCTGCTGCTGCCTCTCTTTAGCCCTTCAGTCTCTTTCTTGGCAGTTTTGGCTGGTATATTTGAGCTGGAGCTGGTTTTGGTATCAGCTTTCGGACTGCTCTTGCTGGCCGATCGCTTAACAGTTGTGCGAGGCTTGGACGCGCTTGGCTTCTGTTCCTCCAAATCCTCATCCTCCTCCTCCTCCTCCTCCTGCTCAGCCTTAATCGTCTGACTCTTGTTCTTCTCCTCCTGCTTCAATTTGATGGGTATCAAGTCGCTGGCCTGCGGTCGCAACGCCATCGGCTGCAGATTGACAATCAGGCGACAGTTCATGCCCATGCCGCGTGCAAGTACAATGAATATGAAGATCATATCCTGCTTGCAGCGGGCTTCCTTGCGCTTGATCTGCTCCAGCAGCTGCTCGATTATGGCACGCTTCGAGCCAGCCTTCTCATGGGTCGGATACAAGTCCTGGCTGAGCAGCTTTATCGCTGTCTTGAACCAGGTGACAAACGACTGCAAATACTTCAGCTCCACGCCCTTTTCGGTGGGATACGCATTGCGGCTGGGCAGCAGCTTGAGCGCCGCCTGCATCAATGTCGTGTCTGCCAGCAGGCGATTGTATTTGATGCTGCGCGCCAGCAGGCACAGCAAACTCACTTTGTGCATCAGCAGCTGGCGGTCCTTGATGTCGCGGTTCATGCGACGCTTCAATGCCAGCTCCAATTCATGCTGTGTCTTCTGCTCTTTGGTCAGCCGCGTGGGTTGGGCGCCCACAACGATTTCCAGATCTCCCGAAATATTGGGCGTGGCATCCGGATCCTCATCGCTGCTCAGTTGAGCATCTGGAAAAAGTCGGTTTTTCGTTTACAGTCTGTGTCTAAAGTTTATGTACAGGCAGATCAATGAAAGCAGTTGAGAGTCTCACGTTTTTTTTTTTCATCTAGGTTTTATTTCACTTTTGCATTTAGATATTTATTTCATTTAAAGTGCATTTTAAATTTTTAATACATTTTTCTTTAACATTCACTAAAATTGCGCTAAAATTATGCTCATATTTTTTTCTTTTACATTTTTTTTTTTATTTTATTTTTATTTATTTTTTATTTTGTGAAATGAATACAATTTTGCTAAAGTAAATTCGTTTTAACATCAGTTCTAATTTTTTTTTAGCTTTTTATATTTATTTTTATCTTTGTATTTTTTGTTTATTGATGAAACACTTTGGAATTGCTGCCATAAAGTAAGTGTATTTATCATTAATCTTAAGTCTTGTTCTTTTCGGCTTTACGCAAATAAAAATATATCAAAAAAATATTCAAAAGACACAACGAAATAAATGCATATGTCGTAGAGCCTGCCTATAGTAAAAAATAATTTAATAGAAAATGAGAAAAATTAAAAGTGTTTTAATTGAATTGTCTTGTTTAATTTAATACTCTGCTTTCGTCTGAGGCAGTTTCTACTGTACTTTAAAAAATTATTTAAATTTGCAATATACTAAAAACTATTTTGATTCGAATTCTATTTTTTAGGTTTTTACTTTTTAAATGTGCAAACACGCAGAATTGTTGAAAAATTTGGTATTCATTTTAACATTTCACAACACTGAAACATTCATAATTTATGCATTGTTTACTTTGTGAATTATTTTGTGCTTCATAAACGACATTCAGAATTTGTTGCGCGTATGTTTTGTTTTGTGTTTTATCTTAAGAGAGACTTTGTTAGTTCAGTGTTGGTTAATAAGCTTGTAGTATTGTGTAGAGTTAGTGTTGTAAAGTATTGCATAAAGCGTGTGTTAACTAAAGCGCTCTAAAGTGCCATTTCTATGCCATTTTCAGTCTAAGAGACTATAAAGATATAGGACCCAAACAGTTAGCATAGCCTTAACGTTTCTCTATTTAAAGATTTCAAATTAAATTTGATCTACAAACAGATAATTTAGGGGTTCTAAAATGGAAAACAACTTTCGAAGTTATCTAAAATCGCATTGCTAAGAAAAGTTTTAAATACGTTTCCAATTTAAATGGAATAATTTTTGAATTTGAATAAAAATAATAATAATAATTTGAACTTCTAAAAAAATTATTAAATGCAAAAAAAATATATATAAAATTTGTTTAATAAATTCTAGTTAAAAATCAAATGTTAAATTTGAATTTTATAAAGTTAAAATACTATTTTTGAGATAAATTGTTAAGAAACTTTTTAAATACTATTTGATATTTTAATAGTAAAATTCTTGAGGTCAGATTATTTTTGTTGTAAATTAGGACTTTTGTTTTCGCATAAGTTTTTAATTTTTACTTTACTTGCAAAATCTTTAAATTACGTATTTTATTTCACTATTTAAAAACTTGTTCAGGCATTTTAAAGTTGTTTTCAAATTTTCATTGAACGAAAATTTGTTTTGTTGTTAAATACAATTTTGTGTTTTTCATTCTAGAAATATCAGAAAACTCTAGAAAAAATTAAATTTTGTTAAAAATCTGTGAATACGGTTTTAAGCTAATGCAAACTGCCTGAGCCTGGTTTAACAGTTACATATGTATATATGTATATTTATGTATATAGAGTAGTTAATTTTGTTTAGCAGATATATATCCATATATATAGATACATAGACTTTCATTTTATCGTATAATTTCATCTGTTTCTCCGTTTAAAAACACAAAACCTACGCAGTCTCAAACGTAGCAATTTTTGGAAGCTTATTATTATTTTTTATATCGTGTATATGTTCTTTGTCTGTAGAGAATTTCTAGAATTTTTGCCTAACTATCAGAATCAACAAACAACAAAGATGCGTCAGCACAACCAACTTGATCACCTGCTTCAACTACATACACCTGGATTTGTGTTTCAACTGTTTCGTCTACTTTCGTTTCCTACCTGCAACTTCCTCAAAGTCATCGGAGTCATCGGTGTCGCCAGCGGCCAGAACTGTGGAAGCTGGCCTGGTCTTGGTGTGCCTCTTGATGCGTGTTGATTTGGTTTTGCTGAGACGCGATGGCGCATCCAGGGGCGGTGGCTGCGTGGCAGCTCCAGTTGCCTCTGCTCCCGCTCCAGTTGCTGCAGCTCTTCCTATTCCTGCTCCTAGCGAACGACGCCTCGATTCGTGCATCTCCGCTGGTTGGTTATTATCCGTCTGTTTGGCGTAGTTTTGGTTCTCGCCCAATGCAAGCAAAGCATTGACATCCATTGCAGCCGTTTTGGTAGCCGGCGGTGTGGCTGTGGCATTCCGTTTACTGAGGAGCGCTTCGCGTGTGCGCTCCAAGCTGTTCGCATTCTCGAGTAGATCACGAAAATCGAAAGCCTTATCCTCCAAACTGCTATCGTTGTTATCCTCTGATCCCGAGCCGGAGTCAGAGAGTTGCGCTATGCCCGCATTGCAATCGAATTGCGGTGGCGGGACTGAGGGGGATTTCTCTCGGTTGGCCGTGAAGAAACTGGAACCTAAATCGAGGTCAGCTGGATTGACTAGGTAGTCATCCACGCTCGATTCGCTGCTGGAGTCTATTGTGTTGTTGCTTTCATTGGGCGTTTTGGCGTTTTTTGAGGCCGTCAAACGGCTGGCAGAGCCCGAAGCCGACGCTGTTGGGGAATTCTGCTGTGTGGGAGAAGTGGGAAAGGTTTTCGGCAGCGGACGATATTGTTTATAGAGCTTCGAGCGCAACGATTGGCCGCTTGACTTTCGCTTCTTCACCGAGGCGCCTTTTATGCCACTCGGTGGCTTCTGTTCTCTGTGGAAGGAATACAAAATGATGAATTAATATTGTCAACTTGGTGTTTGATTGATTGATTCGCAGGCTTGCCTCTTTTTATTGGCGCACGATGAGGAGCGTCCGCTGGCGCTGGCTGCAGCACCCGCTGCTGCTGCTCCACCGGGCGACTCCTCAAATTCGCTGTCATCGTCATCGGAGGATTCGCCTCCGCGCGCATCTTTGCTCGGTTTCCACTCATCCTCTTCGCTCGCTGAGAAGCCCTCCGACAAGGACTCTTCTTCTTCGTCGGACATTTTGTATGTCTGTTTGTGTGTGGGTGCTTGTTGCTCGCAGGCTAAGCGTTTTACATGTGGGTGTGCGTGTATGTGTGTGTCCCACAAACAGTTATTGATTTTTACTGCGCACTTTTGGAATGCTCGTTCTTCTTTAGCTCTTTCTATAACAAACTTTAATCAATGGCCATTTCCTAGAATTAACTTATTGATTACGATTATCTTCTAATGGCTATATGTAGGCCGTTTTATTTGTTGCCTATTTAAATGAGTTTGTGAAATTCACATCTCCGCGCTTGGCCTGGCGTTTAGCTAAGAAATAGCGATAGGCGATGCGATAAATAGTGGTGGCCGATTACTGTATATCGACAAATATAAAAAGTTTGTGTTGTTATATATTGGTTTATATTATTTGCTATTGAATTGTATAAAAACTATTTTTTATCAAAAGATATTCAAGTGATTGCTGTTTAATTTTTGTCACAGCTATTAATATTTAAATTTCAGGTAAAGTGTTTACACACTTGTTGAGCGAAAATTAGTTTATTTCGTTAGATATTATTTGACAACACTGTTATGTATTTTGTTTACGTTTATTGTTAAATGAATTTTTCTGGGCAGGATTTGCATCCCAACTGGGTTGCTTTGAGCACCCTAAATGTGCCATTGAAACGCTTTGTGCACGCAGGAGCTGTGGAGCAGGCGAAGGGGAAGTCGGAGAAGCGCACAATCGATGGCGGGACTGGAGCTGAAGTGCAGCAGTTCTACAAGGAAATTTTAGAGACTCCCGCAACAGCCAAAATAGAAGTTAACAAGACATCTACATGCAATGCTACGTTACCTAAGAAACAGCCAAGATATCCCTATGATAGAAATCGCTTCTTTCGACTGGCAATGACCAACGATGTGGAGCAACTGTCGCTAATGCGCATTAGCGAGGAACAGGAACTGAATGCGTGCGACGCCTTTGGCTGGACAGCTTTGATGATGGCTGCGTGTGAAGGGGCAGAGGAGGCAGTTACATGGCTACTGGAGCAAGGTGCAGCTGTAGAGATCAGAGATAAGAGTGGACAGACGGCTCTGGAGCTAGCCAGAAGGAAGGGCCATCGCAATATTGTGGAATTGCTGGAAAACTTGGACAAACCTGAAGTGCAAGTTCCGCATGAAGCGGAGTCAGCAGAGGCAGCTTTATCGCCCTTCTACTGTGAGCTGTGCCAAAGGGAATACAGTGAATCCACTTGGCGTGACCATCAAACCTCCACGGTGCACAGATTCAACATGAAATCCCTGCCTCCGCATCGTTTGCACAAGTTCAACATCTCGGCTAGAAATCGCGGGCTTCAACTGATGGTTAAGCAGGGCTGGGATCGTGAGCATGGACTGGGGCCCCAGCAGAATGGTCGCCTATACCCAGTGAAGACTGTGCTGCGCAAACAGCGCACAGGCTTGGGAATTCAACAGCCACCGGCACGTGTCACACATTTCGAGGCTTTTGACACAAATGCGACCAAGCGACGCCATGGGAATCCCGCACCACAGTATCAAGAGAGACGCACACGCAACGAGATGAAGCGGGAGAAGCTGCGCGACTGGAGGCGGGAGCGTCGATTGCGACAGGAATTGAGTTGACTTTTGGTTCTAATGGGGGAGATTAAACTAACATTTGTGATGCACTGCAATGTGATTGTAGTTGAGGTCAAATGGTACAGTAACAACTGACTAAAAGGGCCAAGCAACGTATGTCACCGTGGCAATAGCTTGAAGAGTATTTTCAAACTTGAGCTAATTGTGTAATTGCTTGTAATTGTAATTGCTTTACAGTAAAAGCTAGCTAAAGAGTACAGCTTGCTAAAAAATGACAACTGACTCAAGTATAATTCGAAGAGATGTTTGAAAGAATATAAATATTTAAATTAAACAATACTTGTTTCATGTTAACGGGTATTTACTATACATAGACGTGTTTCGAATAGCTGCCTTATGCTAGAACGCAACATTTTCGGCGTTTGGCTAGGTCAGGGCAGTCAACCAGCTCAAGCCCAACCGCCCACCCACGCATCCCCCTGCCGTGCCACAAAATGTGGCACGCGGTTGACCTCTTGGCACCTACATGTCTTATTGGCCGTGGTAAGGGTGGTTGCTTGACGAGGTGAGAGAGGGTGCTCATTCGCGAAGTTTAGCCTGAAGTTGCAAAAACGAAAGCGAAAGCAAAAGCTGTTGCATGACTCTCATTCTGCAGCTACAAAGCGAAAAAAAATCATTCAGCTGACACGAATTTCGCTTTGCGCCTGCGCAGTGAATCCTTTTGCTCAACCCCTTCGCGAAACGACGCCCATGTGGCGCGTATATAAAAAGGCAACGTTTCCGAATTCAGTCTCAGTCGCGTTCGGACTGTGACCAAGTGAAAACGTGTTTCTCAGTCGTTCCTGTTTCTTCAACTCGGCTGCTCCTGTTCTACTTTAAACAAAAAACTGTAAATCACGGCGTGTGCGTGCTTAAAAAAAACGTAGTTAAGTAATTAAAGGTTCGCAGAGAGTTGTGCGAAGGTCAGCAAGAGGCGTGCTCTAGGTAAATTATTAGCACTTGAATTATTTAACCGCTTGCATGACAATTGTTCAAAGTTGAGCGCAATTCAAAACGCAACGTATATATTTAGTGCTCGCATTTTAGTGTGGCAACACTGGTCGCTACCCCAGTTTCGATCAACAGCTGTTCCGGCGTGTGCAAAAGCAAAAGGCAAAAACGCAAAGACAAAAACGTTGGCGTCGCATTTGTTATGCTTTATTTGTATTTGTGTCTTCAACGTGTTCGGTTTACACTCAGCGTCCGTCGTATTGTGTATATTAATAATATTTCAAAATCCAATTCTACAATTAAATAAGTGCCGACGTTGTATTATTTCGTGTGAAGACGAGTGCTAAAATCGTTTTGAAAATATTATACAGTGGAAGTTATAAAATTACGCAAAGTACGCAAATATTATGCAGAACAAAAGTCATAAACAAGGAACGATTCCTGCTGCATTTTGGCCATGTGATTTACGTGAACTCGACAACAATTGAAATACATATGCTAATAATATGCATAGATGCGGGCCGCTTATGCTCTTATTGCAAATACTCAATATGTGTATATTCGGTTTATGGTTTATTTCTGTAGCCTCACACAATGCGTGCATATGTACATATAGAAATGTATTATTTTTGTGCTTGGTTTACAGATTTAAATTGTTTGCCTGTGTTCTTTTTTTTCTGAGAGTTTTACTCGCTTTGCTCTCCTCGCTCCCATCTGTCAGAGTCTGTTGATCATCAAAGTTCACGAGCGTTCGCACGCTCACTCACTCCCGCTGATTCGCTCTTTTGCTCTCTCCTTCTGTCTGCCTTGCGTTTCATGAACTTTGCGCGTGCCTTTCAATTTGTTTGATCTGTCATTGCAATTCCATCTCGCTCTTTCGCCCACCTCTGGGGCATTCTCTTCAATTTTTCTTTGGTTTTGTGCTCGCTCACGTAACGGTTTGATTATTTAGAAATTAATGCAGTCCGACAACGTCAGGCGAACGCGGGGTGGTTCGTCATTTGCATTTGAAGCGTATTCTCTGCTGTTGTTGGTTTTTATTTGCCGTATTCAAATTTGTGCAAAAAAAATGTTGATTTATGTGCATAGACAGTGTTTAAAAATTAAAAACGCATAAATGTTTGGCAAATTAAAACGGCACTTAAATAAATATGTAGTTCAAAATCATTTTTCGCAAATATCAAAATCCATCCAAATGATAAAACAGCACAACACATAAACAAACAAAGTCTACATTGGTGGGCGATTTGTTAAAGGCATAAACAAAAACGAAATATCAGACAAGAAGGTTGCCTGTTTAACCGTTAGCTCTGCAAAAGAGGCCATAAATACAAGGTTAAGAACACACGGAATTAAGATCAACATAGAGCAAAGAGATATTCTAAAGCACGTCAACTCGAAATCGTAAATCTTTAAAATCTTAAAACAAACAAATATTAAAAAAAAAAAAAAAAACAAACACACACAAATGAAAACTCAAATAAAATTTAATAATGTTGCAATACTAGTACTAAGTACAGTGAAGGCATGCTAGAGTGAACAGTTGCTGAGCTTGTTGTTTACATAAATTATTTTTAAAATAAATGTATTTATTTTTTTATCTTCATAATTTCTTCACAAATTTATTTTTTAACCTTTTAAATCATGCTTAAATAGTTTGAGTACTTTGGCTATTGAACTTTACAAAAGTGGCTTTAACATGATAACTATCCACCAGATATTTTCTTTATAAAGTTTGCTTCAAGATTCCATGTTTTTTTTTGTATACTTCTTTAATATAGAATTTATGTATAATATAAGAAAATAAAGTTTTGCCTTGTGGGCGGTCGAGCATCCGTCTCAAGCCGGATGTCAGCCACATTAAAGTACAGTGAAACATAAAAGAGCTGAATTTATGCAACTTTACGCAAATCAGCGCGCTAAGCAGCCGTTCGTTAGCCTAGTTATCACTGTACTCAAGTGCTCATTATCTCCCACTCGAAGATATAATAAGAAGAAAAAACTCTTCCGGGTCAGAGCTCTGCCAACGCGCAGAAAAGTTTCTTAAATAAAAATCCAAACACTCGCAGTATAATGAATAAATACAATAAAAGTCCAGCCATAAAAAACCATCTAAATAAATAATAACAGCTTAAAAATTGTAAATTCTTTAATTTTAGAAATGAAATGAAAATTGTGTGTTGAAATTTTGAAATTTTGTTATTTGAAGTGAATTCCGTTTTAATAATCTTGTAAAAATTCATAATAAATTGTTTATGCAATCGAAGAGCTTAATTGAAATGCGCGAAATTAGCCATTAAAACAATTACAACAAATTATAAACAACAACAAAATAGTAAACAAAACAACAACAACAACAACAACAATTGCTGCCTCTTTTCCGGCTTCAATCAAAAGCGAAACAAAAACAAATCGAAATACAACAAATGCCAGGCGTTTTTCATAGGTAAGTCAACAGTGAGTTTATTAAAGCAATCAGAGTACTCTGAGTGGGGTATGCACGACTATGGGATGCTGTGAGCACCATAGCTCTCTCTGGATAATTTTGGTATTTAATTATTGGACTTGGGCGTAAGTTTTAGAAGTTGATAAATCTATTTAGTAGGTCTTCATCATCCGTTTTGACTAGGGGGAGTGACTGGGAGTAATAGCTATAATGTATTCTACAAGTCATTTACATGTCTATCTTTCAAAATTAATATTTTAAAAATATTTTGGTGTATCTGGTCGAATTTATAAACAAAATTTACAGTTTAT